GTATTCGCTTAGGCATGCTTGTGATAATATTATTTACATAATCTACAGAAACATTATATAAAGTTTTTATAACTCTAGTCTTAAATTGTTCCCATGTCTCACGCACAATCTGCGAGTCTCTAACTTGAGCATCAAGCTGCTTCTTAACTATGTGAAACATGTTTTCTATTGGATTTAAGTCTGGAGATCTCGCTGGGATACAAAATAACTCACATCCCTCTTCCTTTATAGCTGTCTTAGCTGCTAGGCTTCGCTGAGACGGGTCGTAGTCCATTATGAACCATTGTCTTCCACGCTTGCGCGATAGTAGTGCTGGAATTTTTTTTTTACAAACTCAGCGAAATAGGTACCGGTCATTTTCTCATATTCTTCTACCAATACAACCCCATTGTTGTGAGAAATTGCGACCATTAAGTGAAGCCGTTTTCCATCCGCAAGGGTTTTAGATCCTTTTGCCGTCAATTGTAAACCCTCGCTCTTTCTTCTCCATACACGCCCTCTAGGGGCTAAAGCGTCACTAAGAGGCTGTGTCTTATAAACAAAAGAAACCCCGTCTAAATAGAAGGCAATATTTCGCGAGAAGAATCCGGGCTTTGTGGAAAGGATCTTCTTGCATTGTTGCGCAAACGACTTTCTTTTCGTGCGATCACGGCTTGTTAAATCCCCCTTTTTACGCGCAGGTAGATAATCAAATCCAGCTGCTTTCACCTCACGATAAAATGTCCGTTACGGAATATCAAGTGACAGCTGTCCGCTGTGCGCAACCAAGCGCTTAACAGTAAAATTTGGGTCTTTATAACGCAGAGTTTTTATTGTTCTTATTAATTTTCTCCGATCTCTATCTGACAGCTTCTTTGGTCTACCAATTTTCTTGCATGTTTTCAAATCTTGCTTGCGCTGAACTTTTCCTCTCAGAATAAGAGAGACTGACGCTTTAGATATTCTTGCTTTTTTAGCAATCGCTCTGCAGGAATATTGTTTCTCTTTACCAAGAAATAGCACATACGCTCGCGTTGTATCTGAAATAGTATTTTTATATGCCATTATTACTTTGTTTCTATATAACTAGCTCTTATTTATAGCATGTATACTGTGCGCTTTATAATACTACAGCTTTGAGATTAATCCGGATGTTACCGATGACGTTACATTCTCCACAAAAGTAACGTAATAAGCACTTAAAGACAATTGCATTTGCTTCCGAACGTGTTTACCTGCCCTAAATTCCAGATTGCTCTACTAGTTTCGCTTGCAGTTCCAAACTACGAAATTCCCAATATTGGACTGGTTCTAGAAACGTGCATGAACGCATTATGATTAAACTAGAATAATAACATACAATGTATGCGCAAATTAACCATGTTTTCGCTCACCAAAACACGGTATCTATTATATTTGTAAACACCATTGGTAATACTATAAAATACAAGTAATTCTAGCTTCAATAACTGAAATTTTAATTTGGCTTAAAATACCGTTTCGGACAGTAGTACCAAGAAGAGCCGCACATTTAGTTCTTTTAAGTTCAATTCCATTAGCATGAAGATGAACAGAACGATCTTCATCAAGTTGGTGCACACGAGAGAGTTGACTAGTCGAGAAAAGCATGACTTTTGTCTTATTGGGGTTAAGAACAAGGTTATTAGAACTAGACCAGGTGGAAAGTTTATCTAGATTGGATTGAATTTTCTCTTCACATGACTTTATGTCAGCTGGCTTACAATGTGCATAGATGGTAGTGTCATCGGCATACTGATGTGAAGATATAGAGTCGTCAAGGTTTTCAGAGAGATCATTGACATATAGGTTGAAGAGTACAGGACCAAGTATAGACCCTTGTGGAACTCCAAAACAAACGTTAGTTGTGTTTGACACTGCGTCGTCTATTTGAACAAACTGTCGTCGACCAGTCAGATGGCTTGTGACCCATTTGAGATACTCTTTGGAGAAACCTTGTGAATGGAGTTTTCTTAAGATGGTAGAATACGACACAGTATCGAACGCTTTCGAGAAATCTGCGAGAACAGCTATTGTGACTTCACCTCTTTTCATAGCTCGCTGAATATCATCTCGCATTGCCAACATAACTGTCGTAGTGTTGTGACCTTTGCGGTAAGCACTAATGGATTGATTAAGTACTCCAGTGGTTGTATTGGTTACGAAATCAGACATTTGGCGGAGAACGAGTCGTTCAAAGATTTTGGATAGGCTTGGCAGAATGGAAATAGGACGGAGATCGTTATTCGATGATATATTCTGAACTTTGGGAATGGCACAGATACGAACGATCTTCCAAGGTGAGGGAAGTTGCTGGTTCGATATGCAGTTATTGATAATATGTGTCAGAGGTGATGTAAGCTGATCGGCTATCATTTTGTTGTATTTGACAGGAATAGCATCAGGACCACACGAGCAATCCGAGCGCAAATTCCTAATTTCATTCAAAACTTCTTGATAACTAACTCATTCTCGAAGGTGGAATGCATTACATGATTCATCTGGTAAGGTATTAATGAAAGACCACAAGTTTAGAGTTGGCTCAGGTATTGCGCCATTGACACGTTCAGTAGCAGAAGCAAAGTGGGTGTTCAATTCATCAGGATCAATTCGAAGAGGTTTAGGGTTTGGATGAAGTATTCTGCGTATAATTTTCCACGCCCTTTTTGGATTTTTGGACGAAAAAGCTCGTTGATAGAAATCACGCTTGGCGGATTTCATTTTAGTTTTGAGTTTATTTCTAACATCACGATAACGCGATTTGAAGATTTCATCATTGTTGTTTTTACAAGACATTACACGAAGAACATGGCAGTCCTTTTTCTGTTGGGCGATGAAAAAATAAGGCTGTGCCTGTAGTTATTCAAGTTTGTTATGCGTAGACGGTAACACTGCTCCTTTAACTCGAATGGCGAAAACAGCCTTACGTTCATCGAGTTCATCAAAAGCTGAACACGAAAACGGGCCTTATATAAGCAGTCTGATTCTTAGTTTTGGATAGTTACAAAATTGTAGCATTGCTGTACAGTTTTTTATTAACTTTTGATGTATCTTTTGTATATATATATATATATATATATATATATATATATATATATTGTGCACGGATATCCTGTAGCTGAGCAACCAAACAAATTGCTTGAAAAGCACTATTCACCTCCCGAGTATATGCTAAACAGCAAAACGAACAGCAACAAAAAGAACCCCTGAGGTTCTCCGAGTAGGAGTTCAAAAACGATCGATCTAGTCAGCGCGAAGTGGTTAAGGCACTTGCCTTTCACCTCTGAGGTTCTCGGAGGTTACACAACATACATTTCTTTCATATTTGTTTGTTAAACCCTGTCGGGAGACACTACGACACCTTGGTCCGATCCAGGTTTCCTTGCGGGATAAGGGCTTTCCTGGCCTCCCAATGTTGTAGTAATTAATTGTTAGCAGCAGTGACTACCTCTCAGGGCTTGAAATAACGTTCCCAAAGTTACCGATCATGGTGATCGGCAATCATTTCCTTGCTTAAGTAATTTTTTTCCCGCCTATCATAAGCAAGTTCTTGCTGATCATTTACCTCCTGTAAGAAATAGTTGAATATTTAACAGTTATTCTGCGAACTCGAGTCGTATATGAGCTGATAGCCGTATACGCCGAGTAGAATAACTTTTTTACAGACAACTCCTAGTTGATTTTGGTTTTTTTAACTGGTTTATTCTTGGGTTTCATATGACGTCACAGAAGTGACGGGGGGTCAATTCTAAAACAAAACACAGTTATCAGAGTGAGCCGATTGTTCGTTTTATGTATTAGTCTTGTGTTTGGTGCATGGCAAATACATGGAGTTTCGTATCATTTTCTCACTCCAGTACAGCATAAGCGTCAATACATTTGACCCCCCGTCAGATTCACTGCATAATGCCTTAGTGAAACCCAAGAACATAATCATTAAAAATATTATTTGCTAACCTGTAAACAATTATTTTCATTGTGTTTTTATTACTCTTAATGCTATTAAAAGCGAATAACTAAGCCATTTTGTTTTTCTTTGATCTCCATCTTGTTTTTCTACTGGCAGGATATGAGCTGCTAATAGAGAGCAAATCGAAAGTTCAGAATAGCTTATACCCAGTAGTTATCTATATAATAAGTATAATTACCATATACTCGAGGGGTGGATATAGTGCTTTTCACGCAGTTTGATTGGTTGCTCAGCTCTGGATATCTTTGTACTATTCACCTTCGGACAAAAACATAAAGTTTTGTTTAACAGTGTGTAGAGGTATTCTATAAAGCTATTTCTAATGAATAAAATTACTAAAAGCTTGTAAATACTCGGTGTCGGTGAATAGTGCAAGGGTATTCACCTCAACGCTTCGCGTTTTTGACTGACACTGAGTTGAATAATTGTTCATTATTCCGTGTAATTATTTCCAGTTATTTGTAGTAGTGAGTCAATAAATGTACAGTAGTGCCAACACAAGTCATCAAACTCCATTTGTGCGTATTGCTCGTTTGCAATCGACGCCATCTTGGTTGATTTTCGTGGTAACTAAAAATCTATGTTCTTTGTCGTATTGTGCCAAAAATCGTAAACTAGCCATAATACAGTAAGATGGTTTCAAACAAACTAAGAATATTAAAGTAACTCAACTATTTTGATGTAAACGGCTGGACAGAACTTTAAAATCAACCAAGATGGCGCCTACTGACACGCAGTGACGTCATGTGTAAGCAAAAAATACTGTTTTTAAATAGTTTGTAGTATATAATTAGCCTCCTGCGCAGACGTTGTTAGTATATAATACGATGAGATCAGTCTGTAACAGACTGGATAGGCCTTGACCTAGACCAGAAAATTGGAACAACTGCGCTCATTGGCCTAAACCGTGCCTGAGCCAAACCCCTGGCAATGAAAACAGTATAAACGGAGCACAGCTTTACCTTGGTCTGGCCTTGTCTTTCCTTACATTGTTTGACTGTTGAATCAGATTTCTTTCACATATATTTTATAGAAGACAGTCTCTGATGGTGAAACTGAAAAATCACAACCAACGAGTAACAACACTGTGGTTGATTCGTCTCTTGGCAGGCCACGTTATCAATGGAATAAACCTGCAACTGGTAAAGACCTTACTTAGATGTATAGTAGATTTTATTTGGAGGCACAGTTCAGCCTTTTGAAGAATGGTATGAGGTGCATTAGGACACGATGCAAATTAAGGTGGCTCCATACAGTTCCGTAGTATAAATCATCACAATGTTTTTCTACCAATCAGATCAGTTTGTTACAGATTTTTGCGCTGTGATTACAGAAAATTGTACTGTGATTACAAAAAATTGCACTGTGATTACAGAAAATTGCACTGTGATTACAGAAAGTTGCACTGCTGTTTGGGATTAACTGCACTGAAATCAGCCAATCACAGTCGAATAATATCTTTATGTATATTATTATTCGCGATAACGCCAAGAAAACAGGTGATTGTGTGGTTTGGTATAAGATATGTGTGACATCTGTGAACTTTTTGGCTTTTCTACATAGTTTTATATTCGTTTTCGAAACGTAACTGGCAATGATGTAATCAAACCGTAGGGTATTGCCTGAAGCTTATTGAGATGAATTGTTGGCAAACCATAAAGAAGGCTATTGCAATAGTCCAACACTTTAAGAATATTTCTTGGTCGTTTTTGTTTTGTTGTGATGTATATGCTAAAACAATTTTTCACCTTGGTGTCGGTGAATAGTCCTTCTTCCTTCTTTTTCAATAAATAGAAAATCCGCGCAGATTTACAAGAATCAATAACACGTTAGATTGTTATACTGGATTGCTACAGTGCATGCATGCTTGTTGGACATTTGATATAAGCCACATTATGTTTTATATTATCAGTCCATTTTATGATTTTTCTAGATGCGGAATCGTCACGACGTGCTATCCCAGATCTGAAGCAACTCTATTCTGTTTATGTTGGTCATCTTCCTAACGATATCACTCAGGTAATATCGGTGATCATGAGCTGTATACATATGCATGGTCATTCATTGAATTTGACGCCGAGTGCCTATGAAGTTCCTAAACAGTTTTCATAACATTTTCTCCAGCTTTCCCTAGCTAAATCTAGTTTTCCCGTGGATCGTATCGCTGATACATCGTATCCATAATATTGTTCTTTAAATCAAAGTCAAAATACGAAATTTGGGCACACTCCTTGCACCCGCGTCCCAGCCTCGTGTTAAGGCCGCGCGGACAAATACTACTCTAAGGAACTGCCTTTGCTCGAAACGTATTTGTTTTTATTTTTTGGACCTTGGCAAAATTTGGACTTTGCAACCACAAGATTGAAATACATCTATCATATTTACATTCTGTCATTAGATCACATTGACAACACAAATAATTCACAACCTAGATCCTATTAAGGGGGCTCCCTACAGTAGCGTGCGGGATGTTCGCGGGACCAGTACGTAAACTGTCCCACGCAACCGCATGATGAAAACAAAACAAGAATTGACCGGGCTTTTTTTTTAAAAAAAGCTATTTCTAAAAGGTTTCTAATGGAAAAAAGCGTTGAATATTACTTCGTTTTTGAGTGCCAAATCATTTGCGAGTCTGTACAGCAATTCTACATATAATACGAATATCACTAGACCAAAAAGTAGCCACGAAACAATATTTTAATTTTTTTTTAAAATATGCACTGTCAACTGTAAAACATTTTCAAAATTGCATACAAACGTTTAAAAAGTTGTTTACTTCTCAAGAAAACGTTCAAGTTTTTTGTCGTGTTTCTACAAGATTAAAGTGATTATATGTAAACAGAAAAATATTTCAGTTTCATAGCCTAATTGTTCATTTTTAGCAAAATGTACAAAACCAAACATGAAACAAAAAAACACGTCCACCTGTTAATTAGCCTGCGTGACAGGCTCAAGGAATAAAGAGAGCCTGCAACAATCTCAAGGAAATTTGATAACCGCCCATTAATTACTATGATAATTTATTTCCAATCCAACCAATCATATTTTCTGAAGTGCGTGTGCGTGATGCAGTGTGAGTAATAACTATAAATATACTTTAATTTATTACTATCGTAGTTCATATAGAGTGGCTCGAGAATTCAAACACTTTTAAAAAATTGGCAGTTTAATTTACTTTTGGAGTAAATAAAACAGAATTTACACCGGCGATGTCGGTTTGGTACATTTCGATACATTAGTATGTGATACAATTCACTAGAACAAAACATTTTGACTTGATACTGCAGTTTAGATGTCGTTACTCAACAGACTATTTTTACGTATTAATAATGAACGGAACTCAAAAATATATTTATATCAAAAGGAAGACAATACTATCTTAGTCCAAACATTACAATAAATTTCAAAATCATACATACTATGACCAGCTATGAGCGAATATATGTTTCAAAATTGCAACGGCTCACGGCTGAACAGTATAAACGTTTACAAATTGACAATAACAAACTCTTAAACTATAAAAATATATCACAATACAAGCTAAATTGCACTGTAGTTTGTAGTCTGCTGTAAAACTCAGAAAAACCTATAAAAGCAACGTTTGTAGATCGAGTAGTAAGTTTCATAAATACATAAAGCGACATGTATTTAATAGGATATATAATTTGTCAAAATCAGTATTTTCAAATTGATCGGGTATAGCTACTGTATTATTTATATAATTTCAGCCAATTTAAGCCAATCAGCGATTCGTTTACATCAATTGTTTACATCGTGCCCGCATCTAACCTGCGAACGGGCATACTTTAGCCTCGTCAGGCCTCGTGTATAAATCGTGTTTATATTCTTTCAAAAATATCTTGATATTTTTATCAATTTATCTTGAATTGGCTGGCTTTTTTTCTCGCCATTCTACTTGCGATATTATTCCGAAGTTATTTATCAACATGGAATCTTATCCTCATCTGGTAAGTAGTCAAATACAACATATTATATATTTAAATACCAAATTTGTGCAAATATATGTCCCACATATTTTATAATACATGAGTTCGCCAGTTCGGCAAATATTTACTATACTATCTATAGTTAATATTGCCGTATCTTCGGCGTAGAGTTCACATGGAATGCACTCTGGAATTTTTTTATTAATATATTACACTGTATAAAATATTGGATATTTTCGAGGATATTTTAAGGCATTTGTCAACATAGTTCACAAAAAGATTTATACAATATTAAAAACAATCCTTCTGTGACTTCTTTTTAAACAGTGAAAACATTCTCAGGAGATATTGAATTAAATCCTGGTCCTGTATTTCTGTATATTGACTCCGTAACTCTGTTCAAAACAACAGTCCAACTATAAAGCTGTCATCAAATGTAGTGTTAGAGCAAAGGTTGAAGATGTTATCAGTTAAAATACTTATACATTTTGGTTTTACACATTAAGAGTTAATTAAACAAAATTTTTACCAACATTTTCAAATAAAAGAATCCTCACCCTCCCGAGCCTCATTACATTGTCATTTTGCTTTCTAACATAAATATTTTTCTTTAGAGATTAATACAAGAATGAAGAATAAATGTACTGGATATTGGCTGGATAATTTTGTCAGAACAACCAACTTGCAAGACAATCTTACCTAAATTCATTAGTATGGAAAATAACTTAACAGCTATACAATGAGTAATCATACATTATATGGTGGATTTGATCAATGGCACACAATGTACAAAACTAAACTTGTGATACCTTCTACTCAAACCAATAATCTCCCACAACACAATTGTTTTTGTGTGAATGTGCTGTACGTGTTAAACCGAACAGTGTGGTATATCATTAACTGTGCACAGAACTGGAATTTAATTACATACTTCACTCATGACCTTCAAAACATTCTCAATTATTCAGTGGTCTTCGACATGTTCACCAAATATTTTGTGTATGTTACTCAACAGTTAACATTGGCAAGTGTAAACAACAAGTGACATAATTTTTGCTTCATATGATTACAATAAAGTTTTGAAAATTTGATGAGTATGAATTGAATGGACAGGTGACAGTTTACTAAATAGCCGGCTGTATAGACACTTTGAATATTGTTTGCATGAAACTTTTATTTCCTGACTGCATAATTATTTGTTACAATCATGATCACATTATAAAGTTAGTTAAATTTTCTCGGTGCTGGGGTGGGTAGCACTTGCCCTGCTGCACTCCCCGCTGTGTACAGCCCTGTTTTAAATCTTATCTGCCATTTTAATAAGTGATGAAATATTTCAATTGTCCCATGTCATCTTCATTATTCAGTTTCTTTCAAGAAAATACAAAATGTGATCAAGTTTTTTCGCAGATACATGTACGCGTCGCGTACCTATTTTTGTATCTGCGAAGCAGATATATATGCTATCGCAAACGTACTGTTACCGTACCGTGACCGTACCGTATGTTAGCACATAGCCATTCAGCGACGAGCTTATATATTTTAAGCCATTTTATGCCAATTTAAGCCAATCAGCGATTCGTTTACATCAATTGTTTACATCGTGCCCGCTGATCTAACCTGCGAACGGGCATACTTTAGCCTCGTCAGGCCTCGTGTATAAATCGTGTTATTCTTTCAAAAATATCTTGATATTTTTATCAATTTATCTTGAATTGAAGTTATTTATCAACATAGAATCTTATCCTCATCTGGTAAGTAGTCAAATACCATATATTATATATTTAAATACCAAATTTGTGCAAATATATGTCCCACATATTTAATAATACATGAGTTGCCAGTTCGGCAAATATTTACTATACTATCTATAGTTAATATTGCCACAGAATAAATAATTGTATTGCCGTATCTTCGGCGTAGAGTTTACATGGAATTCACTCTGGAATTTTTTTATTAATATATTACACTGTATAAAATATTGGATATTTTCGAGGATATTTTAAGCCATTTGTCAACATAGTTCACAAAAATATTTATACAGTATTAAAAACAATCCTTCTGTGACTTCTGTAATATTTTAAACAGTGAAAACATAGCAGGCAATATTGCCAATTAACAATATCAAAGGAACCTATTGAACAGAACTCAGAAGATATTGAATTAAATCCTGGTCCTGTATTTCTGTTTATTGACTCCGTAACAACTGTCGATCCAACTATAAAGCTGTCATCAAATGTAGTGTTAGAGCAAAGGTTGAAGATGTTATCAGTTAAAATACTTATACATTTTGGTTTTACACATTAGAGTCAATTAAACAAACTTTTTACAAACATTTTCAAATAAAAGAATCCTCACCCTCCCGAGCCTCATTACATTGTCATTTTGCTTTCTAACATAAATATTTTTCTTTAGAGATTAATACAAGAATGAAGAATAAATGTACTGGATATTGGCTGGATAATTTTGTCAGAACAACCAACTTGCAAGACAATCTTACCTAAATTCATTAGTATGGAAAATAACTTAACAGCTACAATGAATAATCATATATTATATGGTGGATTTGATCAATGGCACACAATGTACAAAACTAAACTTGATACCTTCTACTCAAACCGATAATCTCCCACAACACAATTGTTTTTGTGTGAATGTGCTGTACGTGTTAAACCGAACAGTGTGGTATATCATTAACCGTGCACAGAACTGTAATTTAATTATATACTTCACTCATGACCTTCAAAACATTCTCAATTATTCAGTGGTCTTCGACATGTTCACCAAATATTTTGTGTATGTTACTCAATAGTTAACATTAGCAAGTGTAAACAACAAGTGACATAACTTTTGCTTCATATGATTACAATAAAGTTTTGAAAATTTGATGAGTATATGGATTGAATTGACAGGTGACAGTTTACTAAATAGCCGGCTGTATAGACACTTTGAATATTGTTTGCATGAAATTTTTATTTCCTGACTGCATAATTATCTGTTACAATCATAATCACATTATAAAGTTGGTTAAATTTTCTTGGTGCGGGCGTGGGGGGGGGGAGCACTTGCCCTGCCGCCCTCCCCGCTGTGTACAGCCCTGTTGTAAATCTTATCTGCTATTATAATAAGTGATGAAATATTTCAATTGTCCCATGTCACCATTATTCAGTTCCTTTCAAGAAAATACAAAATGTGAATCAAGTTTTTTCGCAGATACATGTACGCCTTGCGTACCTATTTTTGTATCTGCGAAGCAGATATATTGCTATCGCAAACGTGCCGTACCGTACCATACCGTACCGTATCCCTAGC